TTAAAAATTGTTAGCGATGTTTTATTCAAGATAGAATTGATATCAAACGCAAGCCTTTCTTTTGACCTCGGTCTTTTGGTTGGCGCTTGTGAAGAATAGCAATTTAGAAGAATTTCCTCTGCCTTTTCGTGACGTTTTTCCGGGACGTGCAGCACCATCCCGCGCGCAATCCTTTATTGTCCGACTAGATACGTAAGTGCTCCCGCTCGAGCGTGTGTACGACGAATTTTGTCATTTTTGATAGTTTGCTATGTACATAAGAGTCTCTTCGATTATGCCGCGCGGCGTGGCAGAGAGAGAGAGAAAGAAAGAGAGAGAGAAGAATTGCCGCGCGGCCTGTTAACATTTGTGAGTCCATTTTACGAGGAAACCAATATTCGGCAAGACTGAAGCTGATATCACACATTCACAAACTCATATACATACACACAGGCACATTACGTGGTTACGTGACCGAGCGATATATCCGCGGCGACTTGCGAGATAAGCGCCCGACATACCCACGTGTGGAATCAACTTGAGTAATTTTATTATAAATATTTATGTATTTATATGTGTACACACATATCCTCTCCAAATAAATGTAATATGTGTTTGAAAAAAAGAACTTCTCGTCCTAATATTTCTATACTTGGCGAACATAGTATTTTTACAAAAGAAATTAGAGTATATAAATTAAATTATCAATAATTTATTTAATTTATTAGGTTAAGAGATTAAAAAATTGCATGTAATATCATTATTTAAGAATTATCAGTGCGACATTTAAAATAAAAAATATCTGCTAAAAATTTTAAGGAAAATATACAACTGTAAAGTAGCAAATAATAATCTGCTAATGCTGATTGATTAAACGTACGATTTCTGTTTATCGCGAACTGTGAAAAACTTATACTCGCGCTCTGAATTTTTGTAAAGCGTAATCATTGATCGAACAGGCATCCGCAAAGTTGTGAATTGTTAAAAGATGGAGAGCCCATTATAAGTACATATCTTTATTATTTACATATTTCTTTTGTATAATAATCACACGCATCTGCGCACTCATAAATCTATACAATGAAGATATTAGAAAATATGAAAACATAACAGATTTGCGCAACATAATGTGTTTTCTCCTGCACTGCAGCAATACTCACTCTCACCAGCGCTCCATTTGCCTAGGAAAAAAAATGTTAACTAACCACGTAATCCGCGATAAATGCGACCGTGATGAAGCGTTTCTTTACAAAGTCAATTGATAAGCGAAATAATTTTTTCGTGACATCCTACTATTCGCAACGTAATGGTTAATATTTTGGCCTGCGTCATCACAATTGGAAGTATAATTGTTTCAATATCCCTATGCATATGAATATGTTACACGTGGAATGTAAATGTCGCTACTCTTATTCTTCAATTTCTTAGAAATGCGATGACAGTGTCATTGTTGGTCTAAATCTCTATCTATGTCGAGCTGATTATGATTATCTAAATATTCTAAATCATAAGACTAAGATTTAGAGATATTGATACCGTGTTTCAATCATCATAATTCTTTCAAGCGGCCAGAAAATTCATGTTTAGAAAGAAATTATTCTGCGTGGCAAGACAAAAAATATTTCAGAAAATATGTCCCAAGTTCTTCAAGTCCTTTGAATTCTTGTAAATGCTTTTTACAGATTTGCTCAGATGTATTTCACAAATTTTCTCCGTTAATTTTTACAATATTTGTGATTTATTTTGCTACAATCAATATATTGACCTACCCATTATAAATCTAAACTATATATAAATAATATTACAAATACGTCCAACAAATTGTACAACCGATTTGACTGTTCAACAAATATTCCACGCATGCTAGGTTCAACATAATGCTGCAACAAGGATGGTACAAACACCATTTAGCATGGACGGAAAATATAAATTACCTCAGATTATCGTATAAAAGGATATTTTCGTGTGAAAGTATTTCTCTCTTACAGGTGTGATTAGTTTTCTACAACTGTCTTTAGGTTGTTATGGCCACTGCATTGACATGGTTCTATTCCAATGTTAAAATTATTTAATTTCAAATTTAAACAATGATAATGTACAAGTCATTTAGCAGTACATTCTTTCGTTCATGTTGTTTCGGAGATTTCATTAAAAATATTCTTACAAACGCACCTTAAAGTATCATTGCAAAAATAAAAAATCTAAGCAATGCTACTTATATTACATAACAATTAAATTAAACCTGAATCTGAAATGCTCAGTTAGATGAATAGTTACGAGTCAAAGTTCGTACAAACAGATAAGTCTTTGCTCTGGTAACATCTTTTTATACAAAGATGAACAAACACCGATTACACACTTGTCTCATGAATTCTGAAACAGAAGAGAATGTAATCGGCCGTCGCTCTTGATATCAATAATATCGACATGAGAAATAGATTTGTTTTTTATCGTACATTGCATTTTAAAAACCATTAAGCTAGAAATTTGATTCGGTTGGATATTCTTAGGAATCATGTCTCTGTTATCCTGTGTCAGCAGTTCTCTTTTAAGGCATGCATAATTCTCAAACAATCTGTAGTCCGAAACGATACTGATCGTTGTCCAAGATCGCACAATCACAGACGTTGGACGCGGCAAAAATATTCTGCGGCATCGCCGTGTCCGTCGTCTCTTCTTCGTCACGGAGGCCACAGATAAATACACTTCCGGTATACTTGTAAGAAGACTCTACAACGCGCATTGTGCTTTTCGTAGATCACATAGGAGCATAGTCCAGCTGAACCGTAAGCTGTCTTACGCCCGCTGCCTGGAAAATCTTTTGCGTTGCCATCACGACAGACTTGGGATCCACCTCTCGCGCCACTTCCAGTTTCAAGCATCCGACGTACACATCCGAGCACAGCGTCCAGAAGTGTGGCTCCTGCACGCTGTACACGCCGGGCATCTGCGTCAGTTTGTTGTAGCAATGCGGTAGAGCGTAATCCAGTGCCATTGGCTGTCTCTGCATGAGCACTTCCCACGATTCCTTCATCAACGAAATTACACTTAATACTATCAATACTGCTATGAGCATGGAACAAATCGGATCGGCGATCATCCAGCCGAACGTTTGCATCAATACCGCGGACACGATCACGCCTACCGAGCCCAGAGTGTCTGCCAGTATGTGCAGGAACACGCCTTTCATGATCTGAGAGTTTGTGCCGGTGAATGATGCATCCAGTTCGACGTGGTGATCGTAATTATGATTCAAATGAGAATAGTCATGACTGTTGTCACGAGAGTGAGAATGGCCGTGGTGTCCTCCCGCACCATGGCTGTGACTGTGGCCATGGCCGCCATGCCCATGGCCTTGTCCGTGTTTAAATGCGTATATTCCTACTAAATTCACTAAGAGTCCCAACACGGAAACCATAAAGAGTCTTTCATGCTTGATTTCTGGCGGCTCAATAGCTCTCTCCACTGCCTCTGACATGATAAACAGGGCAATGAACAGCAAGAGCAATCCATTTACAAAGCCGCCTAGCACTTCAGCTCTAACATATCCATAGGAGTATCTTTCGTTCGCTCTCCATTTTGTGATGACAGATGCAGCCAAACCGAACAGTAAGCCGGTGCAGTCGAAGAACATGTGAAAACTGTCGGAGATAAGGCCGAGGCTGTTCGTCCAGATTCCATATGACAACTCGACGAAGGCAAAGGACAAGTTGAGAATCAGGAACAGGAACAGATTTCGAGTGTTCTGATCTGAGAAGATCAAACGTTTCCAACCCAGTAGCTTTTCCTTGACTCTACTGCGGAAGTTTAAGCGTGAGTCACGTGGACTGTGTGAAAGTGGCAGCATTTTACAACCGCACGGACGTCGATTCTACAAGCCAAAATCTGTCCTACAATGAGAAAACACATGTCACATCAAAGTATAAAAACATATATATACATAAAGATAAAAGTTATTAAAATAAATCTCAAGAATTTCACACAATTATATATTAATCAGAAATTATATTTATGCTTTTTCCAGATATACAACACAGTTACATATGCTACTATAAGTCATTCTATTTTACCAATAAACTATTGAAAAACTATATAAATCTTTAAAGATAAAAGTATACTAATTACAAGAAAAATAATTGAAGATCTTGAAGTTTTTCACACGCCTCGAAGAAGTCAAGAAATAAAGCATTAATTCCAATATCAGATAATTCCTAATATATGCAGAAATTAATATTATCTCATTTACCAGAGCACAAGCGATTAATTAAGCCGATCATAAATCACAATGTATATCTCCAGCTGTTGACAGCGCGTCAACTCGTCAATTGGAATAATACGTACACGCACATATGCGACGGTCGCGTGTACGGTAGATGCGGTGACACGTCTACGAGAATGGTAGGCGCCTTAACCTGCAATTCAGCCCTCATCTCTCACTCACCTTTCTATCGTGCTGGAAATCCGTGCAAATAGTCCGCGTTGCGATGAATGCGAGGATGTTCGTTACGCGACGTTAATACGCCGTTCGGCGCATCGCCGGCTGTCAAAAGCACAGAAAACCGGGTCGTGCATACGGTGCACAACGGAGGAACGCCATGCTGCACAGCAGTGATGCTCAGTCTTCAAAAAATCCGTAGAGTGCCAATCCCCCCTCCGGTTTACATGGAGTCGCGTCTCCAACCTTTAGGATGTCCTAAAAACGTCTTGAAAAGACATATTTAAAGTCTTTAAAATATCCTAAAAAAGACGTCGTTTTTTAATTTATTTAACAATTATCATTTTGCACAAAAATTTTAAGAAACGTTTTAATTATTTAAGTGTTTTACGAGCATCCTAACACTGTCAAAAGTAGTCCAGCAGCGAAAATAAGCATGTAGAAAGGTTAGGGTTATCCGTTGAAACAGCCTAAAACGCTCCATTTTAGCCGGAATTTTATAAAATTGTAATAAGAGCACATGATGATATAGGATGATATAGGAGGTAGTTAACAGGAGCACATGATAATGCAAGAGCTCTACTCGTAACAGTGCCATCTATTGATTAGCTAAAGCAACATTAAGAACACGTTGATGATAAGTGTACCGACTGCACAGTGAGTAAGCTTTTATATCATCATAGGTCTGTTTTTTATAGCTGAACTGGCTGCACTAGTTCAGAGTTTATCTTTCTCCTTCCAATGTGGAGGGAAAAAGATAAACTCTGAACTAGTACAGCCAGTTCAGCTATAAAGAACAGAGACCTCATGTGTACCTGTTACAATTATTCAAAATCCCCGCTAAAATGCAGCATAAGGAAGGAGACAGAAATAGCTCGTCTGCTCTTTTCTAGTGTCCGAAGCGCGGAGCTCACGTGCACGTGGCTTGTGCATGTGTACGATATTCCTTCTCTCGTGCTGCTTGCTGCTGCGTCTCAAATCTGGCTTCACTAATTGTTATCACTTATCCATTAATTGTTCATCACTTTCGTAAGACGTTTCTGTCGTGAGTTTGATCAGCGTAGTACCAGTTGTCTGTAGATGGAGGTTGGTTGAACCGTAGGCGGAAGTGATACTCGACACAGCGCTCGGTCAACTTCCCTTCTCTTCCTCACGCGACAGCCATCATGGTAAGCGTTCACGTGTAAATTGTGCGGTTTTAGGGAATATTTTTATATGATCTTCCAATAAATCCACAAATCTTACATAGAGACCAGACATTTATAAAATGGTAAACTTAAATTGTAATACACGGGAGAGAGTTTGTTTACAATTGAAAAAAATAACCTGTCTTAATGAAGAGGCCATGTGTTGTACACAATTAATCAAATATAATAGTTTTACTTTAATTTTTGGACAATATTATGTGCAATATTTTGTTCATAAATAATAATTTCAACATTGCGTTTAAAAATTCAATTAAATAACTAGCTTGTCATCTCAATAGAAATATAACCTCTTTGACACACTTGCATGTTAAAATTTTTATAAATTTCGGACACAATAGGATATTTTTTAAAATCAATTTTAGATCTTTGATTCTATAGATTTTCTGTAAACTAAGAAGAGATTTATAAAATCCAGACAATATAAAACATAGTTTTAATGTCATAAAAGTCTTACTATTTTCAAATTTCGAGAAATATAATGTAAGCTTTTTTTATCTTATTTATATGATTAATTATTTTCTAAATAAGTACCACGACAATAAAATACTGATTTAATGATTCTGACTATCCATTAATATAATTAAACTGTGTCTCTTGTGATTGCTGTAAACTGTAGCTTCATGTTGGACTCTTTTTTACAGCCGCCTAAAAAGGATACAAAGAGTTCGTCCAAGCAACCTCAGAAAACCCAGAAGAAGAAGGAGGGTGGATCTGGTGGAAAAGCTAAAAAGAAGGTTTGTACTTTTTTAATCACAATTATTGCAATAGATAATATTGAACAATTTATCTCATTTGATGTACATGTATCAACTTGACTTGCTATGGAAGCAAACTCTGATTTAATGAGTCTGATGAGATTTGAATGTTTCTTTAATGTTGTACATTGTAGCGTTAGAACTGTTTTAACACAAATGTTTTTTATATTTGTAGAAGTGGTCAAAAGGAAAAGTACGTGACAAGTTAAACAATCAAGTTCTTTTTGATAAGCCTACATATGAGAAACTATTGAAGGAAGTACCGCAGTACAAGCTAATCACACCTTCGATTGTTAGTGAGAGGTTAAAGATCAGAGGATCTCTTGCCAGACGAGCGTTGATAGAGCTTCAACAGAAGGGCTTGATCAAGCAAGTCGTGCAACATCATGCACAACTTATCTATACACGTACTACTAAGGGAGACGATCCAGCAGTGTAATATGTATAAACTGGTTTAATAAAAAAGTCAAAACCAAAATCATTCAATTTCTTCAAACGTCAATCTTTATTAATAATCTAATTCTAAATTTGATTCGACTAATTATTAAAATAGAAAAAAAATTTTACAAAACAAAAAAACAATGGAAATTGCAATTAATTGAACAATAGAAAGAGATTATTAAGATTCTAGATGAAATAAATCATCTAATCCGATGTATTAATTTATTTGATTTTAGATTATTACAAAAAATAAAAACAATACTTCTGTAAGAAATCCATAAGATTTTATTGTATCAATGTAACATAAACAATTTTATATATATTTTTATGTACAATGCGCTATATATTAATGAAAGAATTTGGCATTTATACATTTACATTTTCAAATAGCAAAAAATAATTTATACTTCGTCTTGCACATTTTATTAAAAAATAATGTTGAAACAAAAAAAAAAAACAAGAATCAATTAACTAGCAAATTATTTCCTATAGCATACAAATTTATAAAATTAATATTACTTGGACAGGTATAATTTATTATGTTTCATCTATTTCTATTTCTTGTACAGAGTTTCTTTCGCGTTATCTTATCTGTCAAAGATACATTTGTCGAATTATCTAATGCCACGTTTGGCTTCTGATATGATGCAAATGTATTCATGTTGGAGAAAGTATCCCGATTTACAGGATTTTGTTTCACATTACTCGTGTCATTTGGTATTTGCAATTCTCCATTCTTGAGCGACTGGTCGTTAATATTTTTATTCGCTATATTATATACCATCTGTTGTTGAGTAGAGTTAGCTTGCTGACTTGAACATTTATGCTGTTCGTCGTTGCGTTTCTCATTTACAAACAATTCTGGTTTGGCGTCAATAATATTTCGTATTTTATTAAGATCTATACTAATTTTAAAAGAATCATCACTGCAATCGGACTCATTATTGCTATTGCAATTTATAAAACTCTTATTCAACGCTCCGCACCGAGTAAACTTTTCAGAATTATACGTACCGATCTGTTTAGTATCGTTAATAATTACGTTCGAAACTTGCGCGACGCTCTGATTTTGAGCCTTCAATTTTCTGATATTCGTACTGCGTAAGTGTTTATTGTTATTCCATAATCTCGACGTATCGTTTGTACGATCGGTGATAGTTATTTTGTTATCATCAACGTGTTGATTCTCCCCAGTAGAAGCAGTAATGTTATCGTGTAATACTTTCTCAGCACTTTTATTCGCGTTAATAATATTCAAATCGAAGTTGTGTATTGCCTCTTTATTAAACGATTTAGCACCATCATTCTCTTCTTCCATAGAACATACTTGATTAGGCTGTTTTACATCCTCCAGATTGATTCGTAAATTTTGATTGCGATCGCTTGAAACAAATCCGTCCGCTACGTTATCAGCATTCGTATTACAATTCGTCCGGTTTAAAGCACTTGGATTATCACTTGAGATCACACGGATTTCACCATCGTTCTCCCCGCAGACACAACTACTTTTAATCACCATCTCATCGGCTTCGCTTAGATTAACGTTACAGAATCTACGTGAAAGCGTCTTAGATTTGACTGGATCTAAATTCTCTTTTGCTTCGTCGCGACCGCGCGTTATGCACCTAGCTTTATCATTGACCAGATGATTTTCATTTCTCGTGGATCGCAAAACTTTATCTACATATTCCGCAGTTGAGGCACCATCCGAATGATCGAAACTGGACGAAGCTTCACTTCGCGAACGGGAAGCAGGTGTACATAATCTTTTCGGCTCGGGCGTGACCGAACTTGTCGGTCGAATCTTGCGCTTTCTTGAACGATCTAATGGGATGTTTACAGAAAACGTGTCGTACAGAACCATCTGTGCAATACAAATATTGAAATTAAACTACCGTTACGAGAATTGGGAAATTAATTATCTATCCACCCACGTGAAACATACCTGAACGCTTCCTGATCCACAGACTTGAAACTTAAGATCTTTTAGATTCATGTACTGCGGCGTCAATCTAGGTTGATGACAGGTATTGTGGTTGTTTGTGACTTGCGGGAAGATGCTGCGGGTTGTGACCCTCCGGCAATCGACGTTGACACTGCACAAAAACATTATTCATTATTCATATTAAGATACTTATCGCTCATATCAGAGCTATTCTTTCAATTCATTATTTCTCTCTCCTTTATCGTGCAATTTTTTTTTACTTTTGTACAATATTTTGTACTATAAATCTTAATTAGTTTTATTTTGTGATTATTTGTTACGGCTAATAAATATTTCTCTTTCCTATTATTTTTCTTACTAGACTTACCAACAATCATGTCCATTTATAGATCTGCTTGTAACGAAAGTTTAAATTACTATTTAAAAATTTGCGCTGCAAATTTTATTTAACTCACCTTCCACAAGATTCCCTAGATGGATCCTCCCTCTCGTCTGCAGAGTTTGTGCCAGTACGATCGGTGCCTGCATCCCCGTCACACTGTTAGAATCGCAAAATATACACTGGAGAAGAGGTACGGGGAAATTTGCAACAACATATAATCCCCGCACCATATTTCTCAACGTATCTTTATTTGACCGTAAACGCGGGATTTACGTAGATTTATTAAAAATACTTTACCGTAAAGTCAATCATATTAAACATTTACCAGTTTTCTTGAAATATTTTTCAACATTTTGTTCGACATTTTGAACGTTCCAAATAAAATCATTATATAAATTGTTTGACATAATTTGAAAATGTTTTGTAAGTTACTTACGGAGATGTAGTTCAGAGAATTATTGCCGGGACTGGACACATTAACAGGTACTATTTTCATTCCCAAGTCAGATTTCTGCTTATCCAATGCTTCTGTTTGATTTTTATTCACTGTAGTAGGTACAATTGCATCGACTGTCGTCGGCTGCGTGACAAGCGTGATTTGGTTATTATTTGCAGTGGCTATTATTTGTTGATTCTTCTTCACTTGTGGCAGAATAACGTTACTCGACAGCATATTGTATGCATTTTTTATTCCTATTTCTTGATTGGATGTAGATTGGGTGTGAAGATTTGTATTTGATATTGATTTATAGTGAACGTTTTCACGTTTCTGCGGAATACGTATATAAATTGGATTGTTGTTGATTATCATGTTCATAGTACTTCCTTCACTCTGTTGTACATTACTACTTTCTACCGAGGAGTTTGATTCGACCTGACCCGTGTATCTAATATTTGTCTTCTGAAATGATGTCACTGGAGTAGGCGAGTCATTATTTTGCGACAAATTGGAAATTTTGTTTGCAGATGTACAACTCAAGCGATTATCTTCACAATTTTTGGTAGATGTGATGGTAGATATTTTTTCATTTTCTTGCCCATTTATATTATGCACAATGACAGTAGGGCGGTTCGTGTAACTTCCCAAAAATCTTTTATTAAAATTATTCACTTTAATTTTCTTACAGTGCTTTGCAGCATTATTCTCTGAAAGGTGTAATGTAATGTTATCAGTCAGCCATAATATATAAAATTCCAAATTTTTTTCCACAAATTACCTTCATATATATTGCGCTTCGGGGGTGAGACTTGCAGGACGACTTCCTTCAACTTGTTTTCGTTCACTGGAGAATTTAACGTTTCGACAGAATTGATATCCAATTTAACATCCTTAGATGCGACATCGGGCACACTCTCGAACACTTCAGCCGGCAGAGACGTAACGTTGCTGATTTTGATATTCATAGAACTTTCATTTGTATCTGTCTCATTTGTGTCTTGCAAGTCGTCGTTATTCAAAGAAATCATATTTGGCGTGGAGATTAGCGGCGTAGCTGTAAGCAATTGTTTCAAAACGATAAATTTACTTTCACTAGGAATTTTTGACTTTAATACAATAGGTTTCTGCAAATCACTACCATCTGTTTTTAATATATTGATTGTTATAGGTTTGAGTTCTACAGAACTTGCTGTTTTATTTAACAGCGATTTAGAATCCGTCAATGATACAAGAGATGTGTCCGATTGTGTAGATTGCAGTGGAGTCGAAGAATCTGTTTCTTGATTCAATGAAATAATCTGTGTAAAATACAAATAAATATAATCAATAAATTGTTACGTACGCGATTTTGTTTGTATCCTTAAATATTTTTAAAACTAATTTTGATAATTTACCTGCACTTCATCATCGTCGTCGTCAGTTTCAATTGTGATAATGTCTGCATTCTTGCGTTGTGGACTCGGTTGGGATTTTTTGCTATTACTGAACTGTTCTTTTTGGGAATCATCTTTCGCACTTTCTTGCAAATTTTCTTTAGAAATATTTTTCTTACTTGTCTCGGTTTCTTCAACTTTTATATGTTGTGATTCTTTAGGCAATAATTTGTCAATAATATTTGAACTATTTGAGCTAAAATCGAAATAAGTATAGGTTCTTAAAATTTTCCAAATCATATAAATAATATTTAAAGTAACTTCAGTATTTACATCCTTCTCAGGAGTAATGCCTAATTCCTTTACTAAAAAAAACAGAAAATAAACTGTTCTGTTGATACTTTATAAAATTAAATTATTATTATTATGATGTGCAAAAAAGGCAATAAGAACCAGAAGAATGCAGGTATCGGTGCGTGAAAAAAATTTATTGTAAAAAAAATGGAAAATATAACAGAATAAGAACGAAATGTTTTGGTCTAATTTTCGGACTCTTCAGTCTAATGATGATGTCGTGCGGGTGGTCACGCGAAAAAGCGTTATTTTTATGATTATCATTATCTTACCGATCAATTGGCTTCTCCACTTCAAGTAGTTTCTCTGCTTCCAGCAACTGTCGTAACTTAAAAGAACGTGGACCAGGCCGTAATTTAAGACTTATAATAGAATCTACAAAAGATTCTGAGGTAGAATATGAAGTACAATTCAAAGTTTTTGTTTCATGCAGCAGGGGAAATTCAGTTCCCACAGAAATGTCTGTATCACTGTCTGAATCCAAATCAGAATTTTTCAGACTAGAGCTAAAAGCAAGAATTTGACATATTAAGACATAGATTATTGCTATATACTTCTTAAAAGACAATTATTTAATTGCAATGATCCAAGATGTAGATCATTCAATTTTCTACAAAAATATTGTATGCAATATATAAAATTAAAAAATAGATTTTTGATGCATACCTCTCAGAGTTGCTGTCCGAATTCGAGTCTTCATTGTTTTCAGAGTTATCTTCATAGAAATAAAAACAAGATTAGTAATGCTATAGTTGTAATAATAACATTTTGCAAAGCAACACAAAATATTTACTTAGAATAGAAGTACATTCGGCACATTCCCATATAGGATTGGCCCATTTCAATTGTCCGCAACTCTTGTGAATACCCTGTGAGCCGCAGGTCTGACATAACGCTAGTTCCCACTTACTATAATATTTCACAAATATTCTATAATGGAGCTATACATATTCGGTGTAGAGAGCATGTTCACACTATTATAAATAATTGTAACTTACGCGTTACTGCTCGTATATGTTCTTCCTTTTGGACAGAGACATTTTACTGCATCGCATCGATTGTGTCTATACAAAAGCTCCTCGAATGCATTTGGTACCAATTCCCATGAAGCATCCCTAATTACATAAGAAAAAGTAATTACCTATTTTGCAATATAATTTTATTAATAATAATCGTCATTTATATTAATATTCATTAATAATATTAATAACATTAAACAAGGAAAAACCATTTTTCCTTATTTTCACTCTACACAATTATTCATTATATAAGAAAATTAAAAATATCTGGAGAATTGTATTTTTTTTTTCTTATACTTACTGACTCGGAATAAAAATACCATGCTCCAACATGGCTGCTTCAAAATCTTTGTTATTGTTACATAAAGGGCACTTAAAAAAATAACCAGCACTTAAAGCAAGTTGCTGAAATAAGAAAAGTTGTCTTAGATATATTTGAATTCACATTATAAACACAATAATGCATACCAAATTAATCACTCTAGAATAAACTGATTTCTTATAAAATTTGTGTATTCTAAAAATTTTTTTAAAAGCACTATCATGGATTTGATCATATTTACAATTATTCTAATATATTAAATAGTCAGCACAGATTTTTCATGCATAAAATCACCATTAAGACTAACCTGAACACATTTACGATGAAACCATGCATCTTTTTTACAACAAGGAGCCCATAAGATTTTTAACAAATTCGTGGGATCTATTTTGTCATAACAGATGCAACATAATGTATTGTCTGATGAAACACTTTGTGTCAAAATATGATTATCAATATTTTGCTTTGGTCTGTGATTCACACAATATGACCTAAAATGTTTAATTATAATAAATTAGTTCATAATATTTATGGCTACAGTATAGTTATCAGTCTTTCTTTTACCTAAACTCCCCAAAAAATTGATGCAAAGAGTTGGACTTTAAACCACAAGGGAGATGAAATATTCGTTTACATCTTACATTGCAACAGCCCAAAGTAGCTCCAATCTTTCTACAGTATGAACATACCTGAAAGTGTTAACAATTATTTATTCATAAGATTCATAATTCATAGCATTTAATAAATACAATCAAACATAATTATTTATATAATATTCAAGAGCAATGTCAACAGAACTAATATTATGCTATTTCGTATGTACGTACCAATCTCTTTCCTCTGCGCAGTTCCTTCTGTATGTCCTCTGGTAGGAATCCAAGTATGCCGTCCTCATCTTTTCCTTTCTGTGCCATGTTAGAGGATAAAAGCTGAAGAAAAATTGTTATACTGTTATAAACAGTAACATTGTAAACGATAGGACAGATCTCGAACTTCATGTCACATAGCATAACATGAACAAATTCAGATCTTGTAAGTTGTCTAATATTATAATAAAAGCAGTAAATACCAGGCAATAGTAATGCGTGACAATGCCATCATGTTCATAAAACTTTCCATATTGCAGTTCGTTGTCCTCTGTCGAATTGCAGAAGCAGCAAGGTGTTAAGGGGTCGTTTCTAGCAGACATTATGCCTGAATGACAGAAGAGTGTAAACGATCGAAAAGAACGACAAATGACTGAAATAACAGCCATTCGTAAGCACACTGTTTTATAACCGAAAGATTCGTGAGATTCATCGGATAGTATTGACTGGTTGTGACATGATCGAATCAGATCGGATATAAACGGGTGACGCGCGTAATTGTATGGCGAGTGATGCGTAAATTTACCTGGCTAACGCGCTGGGATAATCTTCGTCACACATGAAGACGAGCGTGCGAGAATCAAGTCCCGCACGCGTATTTTTTACCAACGTGCTCGCAACATCGTCCTTGTTAACGAACGTTTCGAGCCAACAAACACTTTAAACACCTTTCAAATCGGCTTGGCGGGATGTTAGCCTTTGTCGATCGGAAATACGATCGGTTGCGTCATTGATTGGATATGGCGGGTTTTAAATTCATTATCTTATTTATAAATAGACTTAACATCTTTTGTCGAAGAACTGAAGTCGGAGTCCGTTGAAGTTAATAAAGATGGCTGATTTGCAAGCTTAATATCTCATTCTATGTTGCAAAAAGATGCCACTTTTGGCGCCAAAAGCTTAAGGTTTGTTCGCGTCGCATGCCCCAAGTTGGCCCATCAACGTCAGCGAGAAAAGACACCTTAAAGAGTCTGGTCGATGTTGCTAGTTTAAAAATGGCGTAGTAACTACCCTGTACGTTGATTTGTACTACTGAGAAAAAGAACATGTATAAGTTATCGTTGACTCGTACTATTTGCTTAATTTTAGCAATTTTAACAGCCAGAGGACACCTGATCGCGTTCTTCAAATTTTTAAATAGTCAAAGAACGCACATCGTATCCTCAATATCAACTCCAGAAGAAAAATAAAAAATATAATAAATATTTCAAAACTTATTGTTTCATTCAATACTATGTTAATTGAATAAAAGCCATTATTCATGTTTTACAGGTATAAATTTATAATTAAAAAAAAAAAAAAAATACAATTTTAGGAGTAATTACATGTTTTCTCAGATCATATCTTTTTATTTAATTTTATATATAATTATTCATAATAAATACCGAAAAACAAATATATCTATATACAATATCAATTTTAAAAATATTTAAAATAGAAAATAGGAAACATTAATAAAATCTAGATGCATAATTAGGGGAAAAGTAGCAAAACTTAAATACAGAAAGTGTAACTAAAAAAAAACAAATATACAACCATGTAGCTTAGATACAAAAAGAATGAACAGTTGTAATTGTAATTATGTGATAGTTTATCAAAAATAAAATAGTTCTATTTGTTCTAATCGTTTGAGACAATAGATTTGTTTTCATCATAATCAATACCACTCGGCAACGGCGTTCAATTTGTTGATTCCACTGGAATTGTGTCTATAAATAATATTATTCATATGAGGAACTTGCGCAAGTTCTTTGCGAGCTTGAGACATTCGGTATAAAACGGGACAGTCCAAAGATATGCATTCTATGTCCCCTACACGTCCAATGCAAGAATGGCAAATCTACAAAAAGAAAATTCATTGCGTTCGTTATTAAACAGAAACAACCAATTATTGGCTGATTACAATTTATAACTTAAAAACGTTAAACAAGTTTCAGATCAATAATATATATATATGTTGATGTAAATATTCTTTTTAACAATGTGCTCACAGCAGCGATCTGTTGATGATTTCTTTCCAGCTGTTTTATCTTTTCAAGAAGCACAAGAATGGTTCGGCTTGGTTGCAAAAGGCATTCTGGGCAAACTTCTTTGGTAGTTTGTTCCTCGCAAACAATGCACGCAACAGATCTGAAGAACTGACGGATAGTAGATTTCGGATTGTTTCCTTTCACATGCACGATATTTTCAAAATTTGAACGATGAGACATTTCTTTGTACCTACAAAAATATATGTATTTGTATTCTAACACATAAACTGCCGTTAAAAAACAGAACATTATTGACTGTAAAACAAATTATACGGTTTAAATATTTTAACATGTTTACCACGTGTTGACATCGATTCCGAATAAATTAAAGCAGCGATTGAGGGGCGGTATGATAACTTTGGTGATGTAGTACACGGAATTCGGGATTAAAGCCGGGTCGGAGATAACCTCCATCGGCGTGCGGACGCAATGGATGAGCGCTTGATTCGGTGCACCGGCGACGATGATGTAGCGCACACGCTCGCTGGTGCGCGGCACAGCGCGTGGATCCTTCTTCAGCAATCTGCGAGTCAATTCTAACGCCGGCACGCAAGCGTTCGCCTTGTATCCACGCATTCCGCGAAACTCCTTCGCGAACGTCAGGTCTTGTATGGATACGCGTCGGCGGAAGATCTTGTCAAATTGCTTGGTGATGTACAACTTCACCAGAGAAACGTCCTTCGTGTCAAATAGAATTTTAAGAGCTTTCTCAAGTATCTGCAACGTGAAAATATTTAATTTTCATATAAAATTGCAAGGATTGCGACTTAATCAGAATTGTTCTCGGTGAATTTGTCGTCCTTCTCACTTTAGAAACTGCGGGACATCCGTCTCTGCGAACCGTCTCGATTCCTTTCGCCAGGAATTCAGGCTTCTCCTGATCGCGAGTCTCGTACATATGTCCGCAGTATCGTTTCTTTGTCTGAAAAAAGAAATTTAGCGGTTTGATTTCAGCTTTATTTTCTTTTATGCAATATAATAATCACTATTCGTTCTTTAATATCTCACTTGTAAAATAGACGGATGTAGAACTTTCTCAAATTTAAGCTTGATGGGCGGAGGATTGGCAGCGGTGACAGCATCCGCGATCTCCTCGCCAATAGTAAACGCTTCTTCCCGAGATTTTCCGTGCAGTAGCACAAACAGCGAATCCGTGTCTCCGTAAACTACTCGGGCGCCCCATTTCGGCGTGGATTCCACCAGTTTAATCGCGCGTTCCAGCGTCTCTCGTCCTTTACTCACCACGCTATCGCCTATCTGCAAAGAATTATTGTCGGATGATAATTTTTATAAATGTGAATATGTTTAAAACGAAAAAAGTTTTTATCCAAACAAACTTATGTGCATATATTACTTTCAATTATTTGATTTGTATAATTTTGAAACGTCGCACCTCAATACACGGCATTCTGCCGCTGAAGTTGGCAGACGTATAGCCGTAAGTGACATTCGCGATTAACTTGAGACCCAACTGCTGCGAATGAAGAACGCGCTGCAGCGCGCGATTCTCCGCTGGGTACAGCTTCATGGATTCCTTCACCATCAGCCGCGTATTTAAAATTTCCGCCAGCATACGCGGCAATATTCCCTGACGCACCTCTTTTTTCACAAAAGCTACGCCGCAAGGCGAGAAGTTCATTTTGTCTTGCAATTTCAACGCGGTATTCTTGTTTACTCTCAACGTCGCTGCGCCAAACTGGAACGGTCCGTATCTGACGAGCCAAAATGTATATAAATGAGTTTAGTTCAATCTTTCTGATCTCACAAATTGTATCTTGGTATTGCACTCACTGGCCTACGTGTTCTATTCTTCCCAGGCAGGTGGAGAAGCAGTAATTGTAAGCTATGATCATACTCGGATACAAACTTTGGAAATCGAGTACGATCAACGGATCGGTGTAAAGCTTGGATTCGGGCTCCATAATCAACGGCAGACACTCCGGCGCTCGCATTCTGGCTCTCTGATGCATGGAAGGTGAGATCGGGATATAGTTCATAGGCTTCGCTAATCGGAGCATCATGGACTCGACGCGAAACTGCGAGCCGCGCGAGAACACCTCGTAAAATTGGATACCGAAGAGACGTGCGTGTTCGCATGTGCGTCCTACAATGCAAAATTTTGGAATAAGATGGTAAATTTACAGAAATTGGAATAAACAATAATAAGCATGTGACAAGCGAAGAGAAAATTTTAGAACGTAGATCTTCACCTATAATGTCCAAGTGATTCAAGAGCTTGAGAGTGCCAAGAATTCTGACAGTATAATGACGTATGACTCTGCTTTTCACCACCATACTCTCGTGCTTCCACCAAGTGGACAACGTCTTGAAGGAGAAGCATGGGATTCTTTCGCGCAAAACATGATGCATAACGTTCTCAAAAGTATACGTCAGCAATGCTGCAAAAATATCGAGCGAGTTTTTTTCTTTCTGCTGAACGAACAAAGCAAAACCTCGTCCTTAAAAATATTGAAAATGCATAGCTCACCGGCTTCGTGTCTCATAATTCGCCAAACGTCGAGGATATTGCGACCAAGTACTTTAATCTCGCCCGCGTCGTCTTTGTCAAACGTATGAGCATCGAATTTGGAGGATATCTGTATATGTGGGACTTTTGAAATTTTTAATGGAAAATTGTTAAGACCAAGATGATGCGCTCTCTGAAAAACGTAACCCCATGAAAGCGTTTCCACTTCCCAACCGAGTAGAATCTCTGGATTATGCTGCTCAATTAATTTCACGAGGTTGTCGAACACATCCTGTTCTGTTAAAACGTATAATATTGGACACATCGCGCTCGCAGAATGGATCTTATTAAGTCGTGCGCTTATAGGACTGGAGTTTACAATTATAGCGCCTAAAACAGAAAAGATAACATTATTTTTTGATATATGCTACAAAAATATGAAGTTTAATTTTGCTTAAATTATTAAGGTTTCATCTTGCAAAGGCTAATTTCTTGATACGTTTTAAATGCTTTTTTATATGAACTTATTCAATAATTAATTATTACTTAAATAATTACTATTAATAAATATTATTAATACTATTATATATACTAATATTTATTACAAGTTTCGATAATTACCGTGTTCACTGGCGTCTGTAGACACATCGTTGTAAACTGCATAAAATAAAGCGGCGATAGAATCAAGTTGCGGGTCAGGAAGGAGATCATCCCGAGTAACAGCATGCACTTCGAGAACCAATAATGTTAGATGTTGGTGCTACGGAAAATTTATAAAAATAAATCTTATTAAAATAAAGTAAAAAACAAGATTAAAATTACAAACTTACCACAGTTATCGCTCTAGCATTTTGAAGATTTTCGTTCGAAGCATTACTGTAACTTCCTCGAGATAAACATTCGATTTGACCGTATGAAACGCCTAATTGCGTTTTATTTTCCTTATACAGTAACGAATTTTCCAATGCTTTTTGTAAAGAAGGATTTAAACTGACCCTGGACGTCTTATCAGAATTTTGCGTAAACTCGGATCTTCTAGTTTTATCGGACATCGCGCTGAGCACACTTTGCTGAAGCATTAATGAATCAGACTCCTTCCTATCTGAATTATTACTTGACGAATCAGTGGATATTCGTCGCTGTAATTCTTTCCTTTCATCGACTGACGGCTGTATGTTTTGCTGCATATTTGATGCGTCTTCTTTATCCCGCTTGTGTGATCTAACATTATTTTTCTCTGCTAGATATTTTTTAGCTCTCACCCAATTTTTAACATCCTTAGAAGACGGCGGTGTCGCGAGTGGTTTAATTGTTAATGAATAACATCCTGCAAGAGTACGCTTGATGTGGCAAGTCTTTATACTCGCGCCAGATGGATGAAACTCGTTGACTTTCATTCTTCGCCACAGCTTGATACTCGTGATGTCGTCTAAACTCGACTTGAACGCAGGCACGTCAAAATACGAAGTATTCGCGTTCAAAGATTCCTTCTGTTTCGCGAGATCGAATTTATTGCCGAAAAATGGCTTCTGCCATCGACACTTCGGAATGCCGTACAACGTCATACTTTCTAGAATTCTTTCAGAAGTAGGAGGCTTGTACTTTGTAGTGATTGTGATTAATTTATTCTTTGGCGATGGACAACTAGTCCTTTCCAACGAAACGCTCTGACTATCGCCCTCCATCTTCTGGTTGATATGTTGGGTGAAAGTTACGTTGCATGCATCTTCATCATCCTCATCGAGATCAGTTTCAGGAATGATATCGTGAGATTTCTTGGATATTTTCGCCAAGTTATGCATATTCGACGTGTAATTTCTTTCGGGAGATGTATCGGTACTTCTTTGTGTGCACTGACTACTCGAAACACTGTCATCATCATTTTCATTGGAATTCATTTTCATTTTAAGAGGAAATGCAATCGCACATATCTGTGCTTGATCAATCAATTGACCAGATGCGATTAAATTTTCAGGCCGCTTCGTTTGATGATCTGATTCTGCGAAAGTGTCTTCTACCTCATCGTTCAAGAAAGACAATCTCTTTCGAACCTCCTCCTTGCTTTTTTTAACTAATAAATGCTCGCTATTTTCCGTTCTTTTCTGTTCTTCATCTGGTATTGATTCGTAAACTATTGTTTCATTAGATTTTACAGTATTTATGTAATCAGTAGCCTGGCTACAAATATAATAAATATTACTTCTGTGTTTTAAATAATTGCCATCTTTTAATTATAGAAAATATAAAAATCTTACACAATATCTGTTTCATTCACCGACTTCTCATTATTGATATTATTTTCTGAAAAAAAGAACCATTTAAAAAGGTGATAAGGAACAATTATATATTATTAATAAAAATTAAACCAAGATATTTAATGCTAATGTAAAAATAAAGTCTAAATGCAGTTAAATTAAATTTAAATACCTGAATCCATGTTTACGCGTTTATCGCGAAGTAAGCTCACACGCAACGGATGTGTTTTACGTTTCGGTGTAGTAGAAGAAGTGGAAGGCACATCGGATATTGGTACATAATGTTTCCTTTTGGGAGATTCACACTGTGGAGTAGCAGTTCGATTAATTTTCGGAGATGTAATAATAATATCAAGAGGCGAGTAATTTCCTGATAACTGTGGACTTCGAAGCGTTTTGGCTGGTGAATTATATCGTCTTCTTGGCGTTTTAACAGTAGTATTCGTCCGTTTACCAGGTGACTCGTGATCATCGTTTTTCAACTCGAGCTTCCTTTTCTTTGGTGTATCTTGAACCACGCCTTGCGGTGTGTTTTTATCAGATTTATAAGCGCATATACGCTTCTCCTCTCTTTCGATTGTAACATCGATTTCGAGTTCAGAATCGCTGGAATCAGTAATTGTAGCCCCATCAGTATTTAACAATGGAAACTTTATAGGAAGTTTAGATGGTTTTCTTTTTTGAACACATAATTTTAAATCT